CTGGTGCACCCCCTTGAGATTTTCTTGTGAATACATTTAATTTATTAAATTTTGAGTTTTTGATTTTCATTTTTATTCGCCGTTACGGTGTGGGGAAAAGCACTGTCAGACCACCATTACAGTCTTCACCTGGCGCAGCCCCTACCGGCACATAACTTTGTGAATCCCTGGTCTAGACTAACATACTTCACATCATGGTGAGAAAATCCATTTCATTTTAAGCCACTTACGCCTGTTGATGATCTTAAGAAAGGGTATTTTTCAAGCGTGTCTGCCAAAGTCATGCCATCTACGATCTCCTTTCGCCGCCATGCAAAGGTCTGCTGCATACGATCTTTGACAATTTTTGTGTCTGGTTGCAGCTTCTGATACTGGCTGTGTAAGACCTTTACATGAGCCTCAATGGAAAATGGATCCTCACCAATGACATTTGGAACCTAAACAATGAGGGAGGAGGAAATGATGTCAACAAAATCAAATTTGATGCATCTAAGTATGCTGCATTTAGAACTTTTAAATTAAAAAACTGGGAAATTCTCATGGTACTCTTTAGGGATCTATCAACTGATTCAACACAATATTATGAAACAAAACAAATAGATCTTAATGGCAAATCTTGTATGATAGTCTAACTTAAAACAATGAATAGAAGTGGCAATGTTTTATTAGCAAGAACCCAAAGAAATCAGCTTCACTGTGGTAATTCAGGTACTTTTATGAATCCATTTTGGATACCAAGAATAATAAGAATGTGTAATTGTATAGTTGGGTATATTTTGATGGTAAGTAAATCAAGAATGCTTTCCTTTAAAAAAAAACTGTGCCTCTTACCTTGGAAACATTTCTCTGACTTGTTCCTTTAGATTCAACAGGCTGCTTTGATCCTTTGAACCCAAACCTCTCCTTGCTGCGTCTCACTTCATCATTGTGAATCAGGGGTGCACGCTCAAATTTAAATTTACGCTTCAGAGACATGTGCCATGTATGCTGATTGGAAGAGAGACATGGATGACTCAAAAACAATTTGTGTGAGCTAAGAATCTAAACAAAAGCTCGTTGATAATACAATATTTCTGTTCAGACAAACAGGGAAGACATTACCTATACCTAAAACCCAGAATACCTGTAAGAATCCTAATTTTATATTTTACATTACTCCCCAACACTAAACATATTGCTGTAAAGTTTCACTTACATAACCATTTCCCTCAAGATCCCTGAGAAAAGGATACTTCACAATCAACATCTTTACAGCCTGGACATATTCCGCATTTGTGGGATACCTAAAACATAAAAAAGAACAAATACAACGGAGATCAAGTTTTGACTCCACATTTGTATTACTTTAAAGCTAGGTTAACATAACCCCAATGTGAGACATGTAGTCAATGTGGGACACTAAAAACTCACATTGTATGCTGTGCAACAGCTTCATAGAGGACTCTGATTATTGTGTGTCTATCCTTTGGGTTTTTCTGACATGGTTCTTTCTGGTCAAGCTTTGTCTGCAGACTTTTTGGGAAAACCGGGATTTCAAAAGTAGAAGGCAGTCCCATACTTGTTACAAGGCTGAAAAATAAAAATTACTTTATTGGGTGGAAATTCAATCAAATACTGATTTTTAAATGCTTGTTAAATGTAACAATTTGAAAAGTTATAACTAAAATTGAAATTATGCATTTGCAGTATTTGGCATTTATAGACTTTCTTCTTAATGTTTCACGCTTAATAACCTGGTTAGAAAATGTATTTGATTCAAATTGTTTTGATGGGTAGGAGAACAACTGAACTTGCATTCATACGTTTACCTGGATGATGCTGAAGAAGTACCTTGCTGCCATTCTTCTGGAGAGACAGGTTCTAAAGTGATTGATATCACAGACTCCTTTTGCTTGGACAAGAACTGATTAAATTTCAGTTGCTTCTTGAAAGATCCTTGAAAGAGTACTGCGATCATGCTCTCAGTGAGGCCACAATCAACTGTATCACCATCCACATCATTATCTGAAAGTTTGAAAAAGATAAACACAGTTCTATTCAAATGCATGGGAAAAAGTCTTCCAAAAAGAAAAAAGTCCAACCAAAAAGATATTGGTTGGACTAACAATATGCCGGTCTTCTGTATATATTCTATAATATATTTGACAATAATTGAGATTAAGATATTAAGATTTAACTTAATCAAAAGAGCACTTACTCATCAACTAACACCACAAGAATTGACAGATTTTTTTCAGAAAAAGCAAATAGCATAAAAAACTCATAATAATTTAGCTTGTAAAGAAATGCTTAAACTAATGAATCCAAATCCTCGGGTTAA